GTATCGGAAGGGGCATTAGCTTGCCTGCAGGTAGAGTTTTCAGGGTCTTACATTGTGAGCAAGTGGAGCATGACTGAACAAGGAATGGATGTCTTTAAGCATAGACTCCCACCAATATCTGTGAGCCAATAGCTGATGTGTTCGTGTCTCCCCAGGGTGGCCCGAGGTCAGGGATGAATGGGCCCAAGTTATCAATCTATTACGACATTCTGGGGGTACATACTGTCTTCCTGCAGGACACATCGATTTCCCAGCGTATCAATGAAAGGATCACTTCTGGGGGTAAAATGGGTTTAGCGTCCTCCAGCTTTGTGTTGAGACTGTCTCTTTGATGTATGCGGGAAAGAGCATCGGCCTTGGTATTACGAGATCCTGGTAGATAAGTGATGCTGAAATTGAAACGAGCAAAAAACAGTGACCATCTAGCTTGATGAGCATTTAGTCTCCGGGCACTCCTAAGATATTCTAAATTCTTGTGATCAGTGAGCACGGTGAAAGGATGGTTTGCTCCCTCAAGCCAATGTCTCCACTCTTCTAAGGCTAATTTTACCGCTAGTAATTCTCTATCACCAATATCATAGTTCATCTCTGCTGGCGACAACTTGTGGGAATAAAAGGCGATCGGATGCAATTTCTGTGGGGACCCAGTTCTCTGCGACAAAACGGCTCCTACGCCAGTCTCTGATGCGGCCACTTCTACCACAAAAGGTTGGGAAGGATCAGGGTGTTTGAGAATGGGAGCCGTAGTAAAAGCTGCTTTGAGACGTTGAAAGGCAGCCTCTGCTTGCTCTGACCATCGGATCTTTTTTGGTGAACCTTTTAATAGGGAAGTAAGGGGAGCTGTGATAGTGCTGAAATTTCTAATGAACCTCCTGTAAAAATTTGCAAATCCCAAAAATCTTTGCAACTCCTTGACTGAAGTGGGAGCGGGCCAATTTACCACTGCGTCAACCTTGTGATCATTCATGGTCACTCCCTGATTAGTAACTACATATCCTAAGAAGTCGACAGACTCCAAGTTGAACTCGCATTTTTCTCCTTTAACATATAGATTATTGTCCAATAGCCTCCTCAACACTGCACGGACATGTTGCACATGAGTCTCCTGGTCTGGTGAGTAAACGAGAATATCGTCTAGATATGCAATGACAAAGTTCCCTAGCATATCCCGCAGTACCTCATTTATGAAAGCCTGGAAAACAGAGGGCGCCATAGAGAGCCCGAAGGGCATCACGAGGTATTCATAGTGCCCCCTAGTGGTCATGAAGGCCGTCTCCCACTCGTCTCCCTCTCTGACTCTGACCAGATTATAGGCACTTCTAAGATCCAGTTTAGTGAACAACTTAGCCCCTTTTAATTGTTCTAAAGCAACTGAAACTAGGGGAAGCGGATAGGGATAGGGCTTGGTGATTTGATTCAGGGCTCTAGTCTATGCAAGGGCGCAGTCCTCCATCTTTTTTCTTTATAAAGAAGAAACTAGAGGAGATTGGGGAAGTGGATGGCCGAATAAACCCTTGTGTTAAAGCCTCCTGAATGTATACATCTAGGGCTTTCTGTTCTTCTTGGGTCAATGGATACACTCTGGCCTTGGGGAAAGTAGGATTATCTAGCAACTCGATAGCACAATCATATGGCCGATGAGGTGGTAACTTGGTAGCGTTTGTGAGCCTGCGAAGTCTTTCCTCTGGTGTCAATCGCACTGAATCACACTGCATGGGTTCCGTGGCTTCAGGTGATTCTGGTGGGCTCCCTATTCTGGAGAGGATTCTTCTGGGGTTTCTATCAGGCTTGTGTTTACGACGATTTTGCAAAAGATGATCCAGTTTAATGGCTAGATCAATGAGTTGATCTAAAGACAAGTCATCATCTTTGCATGCGAGTTCATTCAATATCTCCTGGTTGAGTCCTTGTCTGAACATTACTAAAAGGGCAGCTTCATTCCAGCCAGTACTGGCTGCTAGAGTCCGAAATTCTAGGGAACAATCGACCACTGAACGAGCTCCTTGTTTAAGTTTAGCCAATAATTCCCCACTGACCCTGCCTTCATAAGGATGATCAAAAACCATTTTGAATTCACTAAGGAATTGGACATATGACAAACTGTGAATCCTGTTCCAGCTGGCGGTAGCCCACTCTAATGCTTTACCCGCTAACCTTGATACAATGAAGGATGTCATAGCCTGGTCATTACTAGCAGGGGAATTGTCAAAAAACACAGTACACTGGAACAAAAAGCCTCTACATTTGTCAGGGTTACCCTCAAACTTATCTGGTTTGCTAACCGGGAAAGTAGTAAATGTGGTCAACACGGGAGCCAACAGAGTCGCGATGTTTACTTCAGGTTCAGTCACGCTGAGATTCTGAAGCTGAGTGCTCAGTTTTTTGACACTAGCGACGAGCTGCGCCAACTGGGACTGTTGATCAGCTTGCTGATGAGCTAACGTCTCCAGCGAGTGAGTTACCCCTGGACAGAACCTGCTGATGCCTGCCGAGTAGCTGTCCTTGCTCCATCAATGCCTTTTGGAAAGCTTCCGGATCCGCCATCTGCATAGGTGGCGAGGTATTCTGTAACGTTGGAACAGAAAGCAGACGCTCGCGGTTTAAAGACAAAAAGGAAGCTTTACTTGGGGAATCAGGGATGAGCACCGTAGTCAGATAACGAGCATGGGTCAGTTCCAGAAAACACAGCAAGATGAGAATGGCTACCATAACAGACAAGGGCAAAACAGGTCGAAGTCCACAAAACAAGCAAGGGTCACAAGGGTCAAAATCACCAATCCAAATAACCAGGCAGAAGTACAAAAGGGCAAATCCAAAAAGAGTCAGAGAAAACGAGAAGAATAAAGTCATAACCAGGAAAACCATCAGAAAGGAAACACTCAGTAGTTTCATAGAGAAAGCAAAACCTCGCAAAGACTCTAACTAAAGCCCGGGCTTAAATATGATCTAAAACAGCTGCAAAGTATTAGTATTCTGGCGAACTTGAGCGTTGATTGGATGATGAGGATCTCTCCGGAGTCATGTGACTTTGCTGAGGAGTCTGGGAAATGGAGTTCGTGTCGGAAGATGCGAGCAAGGGAACTAGCTTCGTCTGGTGAGTGGCAGGAAGCGTGACAGGAACACGTTCAAATAGCACAACAGTTTCTGTTTATTTGCTGAATTTTACATATTGGGGAAAAAAAATGAATTATATAAAATATAAAACATGCCATAACTTTGGCACAGACTTCATTAAGTTTCTATGTTAAATTCAGCAAATAAACAGCACTTGTGCAGAACGTGCAGAAGCGTGTTCTCTGTAGAGGATGTGTTAATGTATTTTAAATTAAATTAATTAAAATGAATTACAGTTAAACAGAGGATGTGATTATAGATAATAGAAGGGGAAAAGGGGAAAGATTTTAGGAGTCCTGCTGCCACAAGAGGGCGCCCAAAAGGCTGAAAAGAGACAGAAAGATACTGAAAGGCATTTCAGATGCTTTATTTAAAATTTCAATTATTTCAAACAATTAAAAGGTATATAATAATAATAATAATAATAATAATAATAATATTATTATTATTATTATTATTATTATTATTATATTCAGGGACAGTACCACTAAGGGGGAGGCAAGATCCTGGTCGTTGTGTTTGGAAAGCATAACAGTAAAAGATATATAAGTCGTAAATGTGTATGGAAAAGTTTGAGCGCCCTGGTCAAATGCCGTTTTATTGATTTTCTAGGTGAAAATAAATGAACACGTCCTGACAACACACATATGTCATTTTCTCTGCAAATTTTAGAAAGAATGTCTGTTTTTATTATGTTTAATATACAATATGAATATGAAAACTAACGTAACTTTTGCACAGGCCACATTTTAAGGTCCATATTTTCTCCAATATGTTAAATTCAGCTATTAAATCCAGCCAACAGAATATTTCAGGGACTCAGCCGTGTGTCACTGCCAGTGTGCTAATTATGTATTTAATTAATTTCTGATATGATCTCTGCTGTTCAAATATGAGCCACTCTGGATATGAATTTTATTTTAACGTCATTTTAATACTATACAGCTTTTTCAGTCTTTATGAAATCATCTACAGATCCATTCATCATTGTGGACACATCTTTTTTTACAGGTTCTTAAAATTTTTGGAAACCTATGAAGTTGTGGAGCCCTAATTTAATATGCAGTACTGTGCATAACTCAGAGTTTTATATCCAGTCAAAACAGCCATTAAGTAGTTATTGATTTTTCAGGAGATGTTTCTGAGGCGATTATATGTAAGATAATCTACACAATGAAGGATAAAGTCAAATGAAAAAACAGTTAAAAAAATTACTATAAGATACAGAGAAAATTACACTATTAACAACCACCTGCAACTCCTGGTAGACCACCAAATCTGCAACCCCCCATTCCCCAAAGATAAACAACACTTAACGCTTTCATCCCAGTGCCCACAGGACGCTGTTGCCTGGATATTTTTGGTTGGTGGACTATTCTCAGTCCAGCAGTGACACTGAGGTGTTTAAAAACTCCAGCAGCACTGCTGTGTCTGATCCACTCAGACCAGCGCAACACACACTAACACACCACCACCAGTGTTACTGCAGTGCTGAGAATGATCAACCACCCAAATAGTACCTGCTCTGTGAGGGTCCATGGGGGTCCTGACTAACAAAGTATGCAGAGAAACAGATGGACTACAGTCTGTAACTGTAGAACTACAAAGTGCACCTATATAGTAAGTGGAGCTGATAAAATGGACAATGAGCGTAGAAACAAGGAGGTGGTCATAATGTTACGGCTGATCTGTGTTTATGTTTTATAGCATTTTATTGTTTCGCTATATATGGAAGGTTTTCTGTTACTTTAATCCATAATTCATTTCTGAATAATGAATACTGTTATGCAGACAGATTGATCGACTCTGATCTGCGGTCTTGTGTGTAATAAGCTGTAGTCAGTGTTGCTGATATTGCCCCATGTTCATCTGTCATTTTGTTGTAGGTATTGAATGGGTGGACATTGAGCACCGCACGTTTATTGGTGTGATGGGTAGTATGTTCTGGTCAGTAGGCAACATGCTGCTGGCTGGCATTGCTTACCTGGTCACTGACTGGAGAATGCTGATCATTACAGTCACCACTCCGCTTTTGCTCGCTACTGCCATCTGGTGGTAAGGAACTGACAATGCACACATTCATGACTACTTTAAATGTGTGAATATACTCACTGGCCACTTTATTGGAAACCTCGACCTACACTGTAGCCTGTGTGTTCTGGTGATTTGGCTTACCTCCATTAATAAACCATATGTTTATAGTCTGGAATTTAAAGACTGGGTCTTCTAAACATTACATAACAAGATGTAGATGTGTTATTCAATATTTTCATTCAAATGAGAAATATGGTCACTTTTGAAATATGAGGCATTGTGGAATGAATTTTAATTTTAACTTAACTGATGTTATGCTGCAGTTGTTGGTAATCCAGGCCCAGATTTTTCATTTCTTATTGAACTCTCACAGGTGGATCCCTGAGTCTGCACGGTGGCTGATAGTGAGTGGACAGACAGACAGAGCGTATTCATCCCTGAAGAAGTGTGCCAGCATTAATGGCAGAAGAGATTTCACATCCAAAATCAAACTAGAGGTGTGTAAAACTGCATTGTTTCACATAAAACCTAATTCTCGTTTGTCTACATTTCTGTTTACTGTCAGTAGTTGATAAAAGAGCTCCTGGGCAGGGATTAAGCCCAGTCCTGGACTACACAGCATTAAAGGAAAATACACAGATCAGCCATAACCTTGTTTCTACACTCACTGTCCATTTTATCAGCTGCACTTCCTATATAGGAGCATTTTGTAGTTCTACAGTTACAGACTGTAGTCCATCTGTTTCTCTGCATACTTTGTTAGTCAGGACCCCCATGGACCCTCACAGAGCAGGTACTATTTGGGTGGTTGATCATTCTCAGCACTGCAGTAACACTGGTGGTGGTGTGTTAGTGTGTGTTGCGCTGGTCTGAGTGGATCAGACACAGCAGTGTGCTGGAGTTTTTAAACACTGTGTCCACTCACTGTCCACTCTATTAGACACTCCTACCTTGTCAGTCCACCTTGTAGATGTAAAGACAGAGAAAGTAGCTCTGACTTTACATCTACAAAGTGGACCAACAAGGTAGGAGTGTCTAATAGAGTGGACAGTGAGTACCAATCATATTTGAATTATTTCATATACAGTTGTGTGCAAATGATTGGTCAAATGACATGTTTTGTGGATTTTCTAAGTGAAAATAAGTTCACACATCCTCTGTTTCTGTACAGTTTGTGTTGGTCATCCTCTAGTCCTTCATCAGTGGTCACAGGACGCTGCCCACAGGACGCTGTTGGCTGGATATTTTTGGTTGGTGGACTATTCTCAGTCCAGCAGTGACACTGAGGTGTTTAAAAACTCCAGCAGCACTGCTGTGTCTGATCCACTCAGACCAGTGCAACACACACTAACACACCACCACCACATCAGTGTTACTGCAGTGCTGAGAATGATCCACCACCCGAGTAGTACCTGCTCTGCGAGGGTCCATGGGGGTCCTGACCATTGAAGAACAGGGTAAAAGGGGCCAACAAAGTGAAATATAGTTCAGGATTTGGCTTTATTCCTCTTTGGAAAAGCCCGACCCAAGATGTTCCAAAATAACCTTTTCTTTAATGCTCTCTCTCTCTCTCTCTCTCTCTCTCTCTCTCTATATATCTCTCTCTCTTTCTGTCTCTCTCTCTCTCTCTTTCTCTCTGTTACTCTCCATCTTTCTCTCTTTCTCTTTCTCAGACTCTCTCCACTGTTGCGGAAACAGATACGCAGGGTCGCATTTACACCTACCTAGATCTTGTCAAAACCCCACGCTTAAGGAGACTGACCCTCTTGACTGGCTTTGTGTGGTAAGTGTGCTTGTATTTTTACTAAAAGAATACACAGTACTGTGCAAAAGTCAGAGACCACCCATTGATTTATGCCATTTCCAGTAAAAAAACAGCCATTACATACATGTTGTTAAATTTTCACCATCTGGAAAAAAACAGAAAACATATTTAACAGAAAATTACACAGAACAACTAAATAAAATATCTATATTTTCAGTATTTAGTGTGTCCACTCTTTGCCTTTATTAGACTTTTTTATGAGACTCTTTTCAAGGTTTCAGTTTTTCAAAGAAAACTGTAGGGATTTTTTTCCACACCTCCAAAGTTCAGTCTTAGAAGTTGGTTGCATTTTGTGCTTCTTATGATTAAAATGAATCCTAATTATAAATTTAGACTATCAGTCCATAAGACTGTAGTCCACATCTCAGATGTCCCAGTTTGGTGTTTTAGTGCAATTTTCTTCTTTTTTGTCTATTTCCTTAGTATTTTCTCAGTTCTTCTTAACAGCTACGCATCCTTTCAGACCCATAGCGCTGAGTCGTCTTCTCACAGTGGAAGGATGGACAGAAACACCTGTGGATGTTTTCAGATCTGAGCAGCTTGATTTTCTCCTCTCTCTCAGAGATGAAGGATTTAGGAATCTCATTTTAATATATTGTTTTTTCCCTTTATTTGAAAGCAGAAAGCAGTATTTGACCTGTATTAAACTGAAAATGGTACAAGGACATAATATATAACATTTAGGACAGTGTATTCAGTGTATTCAGCCATCACTAATTTTTCAAAGTATTTTTCCCAACCCTGATTATGACTTACCTTCCTTGTTCATAATAGTATGTCACCTAAGACCTTGGAACGTTAGAATAGTCCATTATTACCATGATACATCTGGTTCCATTGACTTACATTAAAAGTACAGTATGTTTTTACCTTCTCCTGTAAAGTTACCATTTTGGAGATATGAGGTTTTGTTCCAACAACAGCGATACACACACACACACACACACACACATATATATATATATATATATATTTATGTGACCACCTCCTTGTTTCTACGCTCATTGTCCATTTTATCAGCTCCACTTACTATATAGGTGCACTTTGTAGTTCTACAGTTACAGACTGTAGTCCATCTGTTTCTCTGCATACTTTGTTAGCCCCCTTTTACCCTATTCTTCAATGGTCAGGACCCCCACAGGACCCTCACAGAGCAGGTACTATTTGGGTGGTGGATCATTCTCAGCACTGCAGTAACACTGACGTGGTGGTGATGTGTTAATGTGTGTTGTGCTGGTCAGAGTATATATATATATATATATATATAATATATATATATATATATATATATATATATATATATGAGGACAAAATATACTATACTTTTAATAAGAGTCAATGGAACCAGACTTTTTTTTTAAGTAATTTTGGGCTGTTTCTTTTGGTCCATTCATCATGAAATTTACACACAGTGTAAAGGTATTTTCAAATTATGTCAAAAACTGAAAAAACGACAGCAGAGATATTTCTTTATTTTATAATAGGTTATTTAACATCAACATCTACAGTATATCTAAATTGTATTTCTATGTGGCTGCCTAGCTTTGCCTAGTGCAAAGACCCCCTCCTGCTTGTAAACTTCTCCTACTTTAATCTTATCTCCGCTATCTGGTGCACTGCCGTGGAGGATGGGTTCTCCTTTTAGAGTCTTGTTTCCTTTAGAGACCTGGTTGATGCCCTTAGGGAGTTTTTCCTTTTGAGTCTTGGTTCCTCTCTGTGGTTTCTCCTCATACTCCTCATACTCTGAGGACGATTCTGGTGAGAAAGAGCACATATGAACAAGGAGATCATCTATAATGTATCTATACAGCTTCTCTTCTTCTCCCGTAGGTACGGTGTGGCCTCCACATACTATGGCATCAGTTTAAACATCACAGGCTTCGGCCTGAACCTCTACCTGACCAATTTAATCTACGCCGCCATAGAGGTCCCTGCGAAGATCTCAGTCTATATCAGCCTGAAGAAGATTGGACGAAGGCCCACCCAAGTGGGCACACTTCTACTTACTGGAATCTGCATCATCATCAACATCGTCGTGCCTAAAGGTGACACTCTACCAAAATGGACGTTTGAGAATATGACACTCCTTTGGCTGCCCCCCTCCCCCCCTCAAAAAAACAGCTGTGCATGTGTTTCTGTGTTTAGATTACTGGACGTCCCGCACTGTTGTAGCAGTGCTGGGTAAAGGACTGTCCGAAGCTTCCTTCACCACAATATTCCTCTACACCACAGAGCTCTACCCTACAGTCTTACGGTCAGTCACGACAACAAGATACAAGAACATAAAATGTGAACCAGGGGTCGGAAACATGCGGCTCCGGAGCTGCCTGTGGCTCTTTAACTTCCCAGTTGCGGCTCCACAGCAGAATTAGATTTCTAGTAATAATCCTAATAAAAAAGTAAAAATAAAATAATCCTCCTTTGCACTAAAATAAAGCTCTGCTGGTCGTTCAACACAGTTTAACAATAAATTATCTTTAACGCTGGAGTTAATGTAGAACTGCTAATTCACCCTTTAACCCTGAAGATCAGCACAGACTGCTGGTCACCATAGCAACACAGAGAACATCTCGCCTAGCTAGTAGCTAACGAAACGGCAAAGAGAAAGATTTAAGACGAACATCGATAATTTGGAGACGAATGGACTTATTTGCATTTATGATCACTCCCATAATCATATGGTTTCCTGATACATTTAATCTGCAGTGAGAAAATGTCAAACACTAAAAAGTCACGAAGCTGAAGTCGCTTCTCATTTACCAGCTTCTTGTTTGAATTCTCCCGTTCCACCTTAAATGGTTCAGCGGTTACATTCTGGTGCCTCAGCCACACTTTAAGGTGGAACAAGAAGCTGGTGAATGAGAAGCGACTTCAGCCTCGTAAAAAGTCGAATGTTAAGAGACATTTTACAAGAAACTGTTCCACTTTTGAGAAAAGTTTCCGGCTGGAGATGCGAGAAAAGCGGCTATAGTTGAGCTGAAGCTTAAAGCAGAGCAAAGTAAGTCTGCATTTTTGTTCATATTATAGTTTTTTAGCAAATCGCTGTGGTCGGGTCAAAACCTTGTATCTCCATTTTTGAGTTTTTTCAGTTTTTGACATAATTTGAAAACACCTGTCGCCCTTTACATTGTGTGTAAATTTCATGATGAATGGAGCAAAAGAAACGGCCCAAAATTACTTGAGAAAAATTCTGGTTCCATTGACTTACATGAAAAGTAAAGTATGTTTTTTCCTTCTCCTGTAAAGTTTCCATTTTGGAGATACGAGGTTTTGATCCGACAGCAGCGATATACTAGCAGATTAGCACATACTGTGACATATTTACAGCCAAGATGGTAAAACTTCAATAAAATGGACATAAAATGTGGCTCCCAAGGTGGTTTGATTTTTTGGACAAAGTGGCTCTTCCTAATGTTTGTGTTGCTGACCCCTGGGCTAGTCTGTTCTTTTAAGGATTAAAGTTACATTTTTGCATTAGATTATGTAAAATAGGCTGAATTTCAGCACATAGAATGGGGAGGCTACTGTACATGTACAACTTGTGGATTACATCAGTTTGATTTATGAACTTACGCTTTCTCCTCCTCTCCTTTGCCGGAGCAGACAGAACGGAATAGGCTACAACAGCTTTTTGGCTCGACTGGGTGCCTCCATCTCACCTCTTATTATGTTATTGGAGGACGTGTGGCTCCTCCTTCCTCAGATGATCTTTGGTATGATGGCTATTATCTCTGGCCTGGTGGCCTGTCTTCTTCAGGAAACTAACAACACTCGACTGCCTGAGACCATAGAGGACATCGAGCAGACAAGGTAAAAACATGCCAGTAGTATAAAGAGTTTACAAAATGAAGCATTAGATAAATAAATGCCTCATAAGTTCTCAAACTTTTTTAGTGCTTTCTCTGCCATCCTCGAACAAAATACACCATGTGGCCAAAAGTATGTGGACACTTGACCATCACAACACCTATAGGTGCTTTTTGAATATCAAATTTCCAAACCAGGGGCATTAATATAGAGTTGCCCCCGTTTTGCAGCTGAAGCAGGGTCCACTCTACAGGGATGGCTTTCCACAAATTTTGGAGTGTGTCTGTGTTCAGTCAAAAGAGCATTTGTGAGGTCAGACACTGTTGGGTGAGAAGTGCTGGCTCACAGTTGACATTCCAGTTCATCCCAAAGGTATTCAGTGGGGTTGAGGTCAGGGCTCTGTGTAGACCACTGGAGTTCCGAAAGGGGCACGGTCATGCTGGAACAGGAAAGGGTCTTCACCAACTGTTGCCACAAAGTTGGAAGCATATAATGGTCCAAACCTGATAAAGCAGCCCCAGCTCATTATCCCCCCTCCTCCAAACTTTACTGTCGGCACTATGCATTCACATAGGTAGCGTTCTCCTAGCATCCGCCAAACCCAGATTTGTCCGTCAGGCAGCCAGATAGACAAGCGTGATTCATCACTCCAGGGAACATGTTTCCACTGCTCCAGAGTCCAGTGGTGGTCTGCTTTACACCACTCCAGCCGACACTTGGCATTGCACAAGTGATCTTAGGCTAGTGTGCAGCTGCTCGGCCATGGAAACCCATTTCATGAAGCTCCCAACGCACATTTCTTGTGCTGATGTTGCTTCCAGAGGCAGTTTGAACTCACTAGTGAGTGATGCAACAGAGGACTGACTTGTGGCAAAGGTAGCATCATGTAACAGTGCTTAATTTTATACACCTGTAAGAGATGGGTGTGGCTGAAACACCTGAAGTCAATAATGGTAATTAGCAGGGGTGTTCACATACTTTTGGCCATATAGTGTATGTCCCAAAAATCAAAACCCCTAGAATTTATAAGCAGCATGGTTTGAGTGCTGACATCACAACAATAAGGGTAAAATTCATGGGCTTTGGCTTTATGTCTAAAGTAGCACAGTCAATAATACTGTCACAAATATTTACATGCATGATATTGTTTTCCTCAAAATAAACCTGATTAGACTTGAATGCAATAACTTTAAAGCTATTGTAAACAATCATTTATATTAAAAACACTTGCTGTCCCCAGACATTTGACAGGCAGTGTTGCATGTCTATGCATTATACGTTTTATAGCAGTAGGGTCTTTGTAGTGGTTAATTAAAGGGTAATTTTAGATTTATGTTCAAATCATTGTTAATGTTCCTATATTAATTATCTACACCATTCTCTGTGTCTGTTTTCTACAGAAAGAGATCCCTCTGCATCACCTCACAGGAGCAGAGTGAAATCCCACTGAAAACAGCAGTGCCTGCAGACAAAGCGCCATAATTTCATTTTTCTAATGACAACCTTATTAAAAACTGGCATTACTAACTCATGCTCTTCTTCAATTACTTTATAAGGTGACAATATACAGAACCAATGAAAAATGTTTCTGCAGTCAATTATATATGAAAAATAATTTGCACTAGTTCAGTGAAGACTGATTGTTGGTGCAATATGAGGTGCCATACAATAAGAACATATTTTATATAATTTACAGTTCATCTGTGGTTTTCTTGCAGTACACCAGAGTGTAATATGAACCAGGTTGTTTAGCAACCGAAATGATGACATGCAGAATAACATTGTTTAAGAAATGAACGCAAAAAACTGGACAAACTACAACATTTTTCTTCAGTTTATCTCATCTACAAGTTCAAATAAGCCAAAGGACGAAAAATGACGTGTATGTGATAACTCTTAATAGAGATTTTAAATGGGATAATTTGGTGAAACCAGCTCCTGAAACGCCTCCATAAAATATGCTGATGAGGTGGATCAGGTGTGTTGGGGCAGATCCTGTGGAGGGGGGCTTGACCACTGATGAACAGGGTAAAGGAGGGATAACTAATGCAGAGAAATCTGTAATTGTAGAACTATAAAGTGCACCTATATGATAAGTGGGAGTGATACATAGTTTACTAAGTTATAACACCCTTTGGCAGATACTTGCAGAAGCTTTTTTACCCAGCCAGGAGTCTTTTTATTCTTGTTTTAGACATTTTCATCCACTTTTTCTTGACTGATTGTGTCACATTTGCTTCAAGAATTTGCTGATATTTAGTGGAATCCATTCTTCCATTTACTCGTGCAGTGTTTCCTGAGCCCTGGCTACCACACATTCCCCAAACATAATATATCCGCTCCAACGTTTAACGGTTGGCAAGGGGTTCTTTTAATCAGATGCTGCTCCTTTTTTGATGCACCCCCACTCCTGTGTCGGTTAATGTTTCTGCAGGTCTTTTGCTATCTCGTGGGCAGTTTTGCTTTGCCTTTCCTGTCAGCATATGAGCTTCCTGACATTTCTAAGTGACATTTCAGACAGTAGAAATTGGTTTTGTTATTGTTTGCTGTCCAGTGTCGACCAGAGAAGGATGAGTTCCCCTTTGAGTCTTGGTTTCTGTCAAGGTATCTTCCTCTTTTTTTCCTTGCCACTGTCACCATTTTTCTGTAAAGCTGCTTTGTGACAACACCTGTTGTAAAAAGCTCTATATAATTAAACTTTGACTTGAAGTTTGTTTGTATCGCACTTTTCATACACAGCGGCAAGAATGCTTCACACAAACACAGAAAAATAAAAGCATTAAATAATAATAAATAATAAAGCTTATGAAAAAGTTCAAATTTAAGTGCTAAAGATAAAAGACAATAACATTATGAATTAAATAAGGGGTTTATAAAAACAAAATAGTGTTGAGAAAGTGCAGTGCTGAACAAAGGAGCAAGAAAATAAGAACTTACTGATGATCCCTGGTGACTAGAGGCCTATTGGGCTCATATACTTCAAACAGATTAGCAGTGTATTTTGGTCCAAGGCCATTTAGAGATTTACACTGATCAGGCATAACATTATGACCACCTCCTTGTTTCTACACTCATTGTCCATTTTATCAGCTCCACTTACTATATAGGTGCACTTTGTAGTTCTACAGTTACAGACTGTAGTCCATCTGTTTCTCTGCATACTTTGTTAGCCCCCTTTTACCCTGTTCTTCAGTGGTCAGGACCCCCATGGACCCTCACAGAGCAGGTACTATTTGGGTGGTGGATCATCCTCAGCACTGTAGTAACACTGATGTGGTGGTGATGTGTTAGTGTGTGTTGTGCTGGTCTGAGTGGATCAGACACAGCAGTGCTGCTGGAGTTTTTAAACACTGCATCCACTCACTGTCCACTCTATTAGACACTCCTACCTTGTTGGTCCACCTTGTAGATGTAAAGTCAGAGACGATAGCTCATCTGCTGCTGCACAGTTTGTGTTGGTCATCCTCTAGTCCTTCATCAGTGGTCACAGGACGCTTGTGGGCTGGATATTTTTGGTTGGTGGACTATTCTCAGTCCAGCAGGGACACTGAGGTGTTTAAAAACTCCAGCAGCACTGCTGTGTCTGATCCACTCGTACCAGCACAACACAAACTAACACACCACCACCACATCAGTGTTACTGCAGTGCTGAGAATGATCCATCACCCAAATAGTACCTGCTCTGTGAGGGTCCATGGGGGTCCTGACCGCTGAAGAACAGGGTAGAAGGGGGCTAACAAAGTATGCAGAGAAACAGATGGACTACAGTCTGTAACTGTAGAACTACAGAGTGCACCTATATAGTAAGTGGAGCTGATAAAATGGACAGTGAGCATCGAAACAAGCTGTAGCTGTCTGATTGTGGTCTTGGAAAGGCCAGTACTAAGACCTTTACAGTAGTCCAGCCTGTTAGAGACAAATGCACAACTTGTTGTGACATGATTTTTTCTTAATTTTCATATATTCTTGAGATGGTGAAAGGCTGCTTTCATTGCTTTTACAAGGCTACTGAAAATCAGATCTGAATCAACTGACTTGATCTTTAGCCCTTTAAGTCTTTGCTCCTTACTAGACACCAATTCGCTTCATCTGCAGATCCTCCTTAGAGGAGCTCATGGTTGTTGAGTGTTAGCACAAGGTTTGAAAAGTCCGAGAATTTTTTTTGGAATTGTCGTCAGCTGACAATTTCTAATGACAGTTCTTGACCTGCCTAACCAGTCAATTAAGGCCTAACAAGTCAACTGGATGATTGTCCAGACTTATGCACATGCCACAATTACTACCCTCTATGTTCTTCCTGTTCTTTCGCTCAGGTCACTGTGTCCTTGGCCACCGAGCTACAGCAAGATGCAATGTCATGATTTCATTGTTCTCTCTTGTTCAGTGTGTTTCATAAAGCTGTAGTCTGTGGTTTACTCTGTAAGCTATTTCAGTGATTCTGTTCTGCACCCCTTGACATTTGAGTTAAAAATTTCTGTTCATTCCCTTCCATGCTGGGTCACTAGGAACTCTCTAAAAAAGATTAACAGAAAATCACACAGATGGAGATGCAGTTGCATTTGTTTCAACTTGTTACATCAGCAATTGGATCTACACATGCAAACAGCTTATTATTCAAATTACCATTAATATAATTTTAGGTGAATAGGATTTAGGATGACATGCTTGCTTTGGTGGTATAGAAAGTTCCTGCATATGTTTCCAATGCTACAATTCTAGCTTAACTGCATAACCTATATAGAACATATGAGAATTATATTGTTGTTATTATTATGTGAGGTTCCAAGCACTGTAAGAAAAGTTGGTTTCTTATTTTCATCATATATATTATACATGCATGACTACAATAAATGCTACCTGACCATACGTTGTCTGGTTTGACATCTGGGCTTGTGTATGAGTATGAGATGTTAATGAACATTAGAAAAGTGCACAAATGAGTGATGAATAACTGTACATGCAAGTGGACCCCTCAGAAACGTCCTTCCTGCACTGTATTCGTTCTTAAACGAGGTTGTCAGAGTGGGTCGTCTCTCAAAGCCTTTTCTCTTCTTTATTTCTCCTTTACTTAGGGCTACATTTTGATCAATTTATTTCTTCATTTTATTTCTCTTGGGGCTCTGAAACTCACTGTCCATTTCACAGGCCTAAGGATGAAGTTTGAGAACCTGTTGGCAGAAGTTGGCGGTTTTGGACGCTTCCAAATTGCGCTCATTCTTTTGCTGGTGATCCCGCGGGTCACCCTGCCGTTTCACTTCCTGCTGAATAATTTTATCGCCGTCATCCCGTCCCATCACTGTGACATCAGCTCTCTGGACACCGATGGTGTTTTTGAGAATCTGACCCAGGAGCAAAGACTGACTGTCAGCATTCCACAACATGAAGATGGAACCTTTGCTTCCTGTCATATGTTCACAGAACCTCAGTTCCACCTGCTGGAGAACTCGTCTGACGCTACAGAACTTCCTGTTGTCCAGTGCCAGGATGGATGGGAGTATGACCACAGCACATTTGAGTCAACCTTGGCTACTGAGGTAATTCTCCTCATTTTTCTCCTCATCATTGAGAGTTTTCTCCTCATCTGTTGGCTTACTCCCTCCACACCAGTGGTCACCAACCCTGGTCTTGGAGATCTCCCCTCCCACAGAGTCTAGTTCTACCCACAATTGATCCAGCTAATCAGGTTATTCAGAAGCCCTTGGTTGGCTGGATCAAATGCACTAGTGTGGGTGTATTGGATGTTGGATGTAGCTCTCTAGGAGGAGGGTTGGGACCACTGTTCTACACATTTATTTGCCAGTTTATTAGGTACACGCTGAGAAATGAAAGGAAAAATGTGATGAGATAAATGAGTGAAGAAACGTAAGTGAGGATGCAATTAAGCAGTTACCATCCAACCATGCTCTGTGGCATGTATTAAAATGCTATGCAGACCAAGGTAACCTTGATCTAGATCAAGATGGCATGAGGAAAAGATTTAAGTGACTTTGAACCAGGGTTCAATAATGAGACTACTGCTCAACTGGCTAATGTTTCAATAGGAACAATGACTGAAGTGGTCTCTGCATTCAGATTTATGGAAAAGACATTAGTCAACATGGGTTCAAAGTGCACATGTAGTGACCACGATACTTGTGCATTAGTGTTTTTGTATGAAAAAAACAGATTTACATTCTCAGGTGACTAAGAATGTAAATGCAGGGTTTGGTCAGACTGTGTCAGCAAGAACAGTGTATCAACAGCTATAGAGAGGGATCTTACAGTAGGGTTGCAGTCCATAAACCCCTCATTACAAAGACGAGTGACCGTGTTACCACAGAGATGTGGAAAAAGGTGATATGATCAGATCATTCTTTACCATATTCTCCATAAGAGTATGGAGAACGGCACAGGCCTGAAAGCTTGACCCCCGCAATGAGAGGGTCTGGCTTCTCTGTTATGCTGTGGAGTAGAGGTCTGTGGGGGACTTTTTTTCTCCGTCCTGCTCCCACCCTCTCCCACAAGATTTCATCCCGCTCCCACCTACTCCCGCAGAAAATCTAAATCTTTTGTCCCGCTCCTGCCTGCAACCGAAATGTTTTGTCCTGCTCCCGTCCGTGCAGTTCCATCAAGGTGAGCTGACATCCAATATCTGACATAGCTTATTCACAAATACGTTATTCTCTGCTGAAATAACACGGCAGTTGTGGTCATCAGGCTCACTGTGAAGTAACTTCACCAAACGCCATTCATTCCCAGTAAACACAAAGCAGGAATTAAACCACAGAGCAGCTATTTTTGGTGTTTTGCTGGGCTCTGAAGCTGTGGACACTGGACTGAGGGCTCCACCATCTTTGTAAGCCACAAAAATTTGTGTGTTGTTCACATGATCGGTTACTTCACAACTCTTCACAACAAACATTTCTATCCTCATGGGAGTCTCATCCCAGATGACAATGCTCCATCCACAGGGCACAAGGGGTCACTGAATGGTTTAATGACTATAAAAAACTTTGTAAATCATAAGCTATGGCCTTCACTGTCACCAGATCTTACCCCTTGGGAGAATTTGGACCAATGTGTTAGACAGCGCTCTCGACCACCGTTAAAGCATCAGTTGAGGGAATATCTTTTGGGAGAAGAGTGTTCCATGCTTCCAGTACAGTTCCAGAGACGTGTATCTATCTATGCCACCATGCACTGAAGCTGTTCTGGAAGCCCAACACCACGCTAAGACAGTTTGTGTTGGTTTTTCCTTTAATTTGTCACCTGGTGTACAGTTACAAACTATAGTATATCTGTTGCTGCACAATTTATCAGCCCCCTCTACCCTGCTTA